AGCTTCGTGTGTTAAAGCTGCATTCTCTCTAGTGTCCACCAGGGGGCGACTCCTCTGGTTGTATAGAAGTCTATGAGAAGATGACTCTACTTCTCTCTTGATTTATTACCTCAGTAAACATTGTAAACATGACTCACTTTATTCGTCTTGCAGATCTGCACCAGTGTGTGTTTGGGGTGCGGGATGCTCGGCCACATGTACGTAAATATTCTGTGAAGGAAACAGAAGATATAAATAGATGACACGCGTCTAGAAACACTGACTTTGTGACGAGGAAGCAGAGACGCCGTACTTGTTTTTGCAGAAGAAAACAACACTTGAAGGCACCACCACCAAAACGATGAGACACACAATCAGTTTGTTTGTCTCCCGTCTTTCATCCGTCTGTTTCTGGACTTCATCTTCATCTTCTTCTTCTTCATCTTCATCTTCTGGAGAGAAAAGAGAGGATGAAAGTTAAATAAGGTCTTTATTCTCTTCAGTGTCTTAAAGAAGCAGAACGTGTTTCGACTAGTTCTCACCAGCCGGAGTAATGAATGTGGACGCTTTGCTCCACTTGCTCCAGGAACCCTGCAGACCGTTCACAGGGATCGATCTCGCTTCCACCTGGTACTCGGTGTGTTTTCGGAGGTGCTCCATGTGGATCTTCAGAGTGTCTGATGACACGTTTTGAGTCTGTGGTCAAACACGAGAACAAGTCAGTCTCTGCAGAAAGTTCAACAGTAGAAAGACAACAAGTGAAGCGACAGAAGTGACGTTACTATCGTGCTGTCGTTCCACCAGATGTGCAGCTGGAAGAGCTGGTTGTCTACTCTAATGTATTCGTTGAGGTACGGAGTCTGAAGGCGGATCACGACCTGATGAGAGTCCAGATCGAAGGTCACGTTCTTCACCTGAGGACTTCTGGGCTGAACTGCAGAGACACAATACTGATGTCATCACTTCACATGAGTCACTTTCAAATTCAAATCTGGACCATTTTAGCATCGAAAACAGGAAGTGACCACATTAGGACTGAGGAGGAGTGACGTAGAGACCTGTCAATCACTGTGTAGCCCCGCCCTAAAGCATCCCCTGCTTTATGGTCTGTGTGACTCTAAATGGACCATAAGTTACTAAATGAACATCATGCTGTAGTGAAGAAGACTTGAAACTAGAGATTGAGACCATAAACTCATGTTTACAATGTTTACTGAGGTAATAAATCAAGAGAGAAGTAGAGTCATTTTCTCATAGACTTCTATACAACCAGAGGAGTCGCCCCCTGGTGGACACTAGAGAGAATGCAGCTTTAACACATGAAGCTTTGACTTCTCTTAGAACCAGAGGTTGCCTGATATGAAGACAACGAAGCCTGTTGCAAAATAAAGTGAAAAGAAAAAGTGAAAAAATAAATCTGTGAATTACAGCGTTTCTTTGTTTCCATCAAAAATGTCGTCCTGAAATAAAATGGTGAGATATTTGTGTTTGATATAAATACCATAAAGGACACTAATAAAGAGCGTTTATGTGTTTTATGACTGCAGTTAGGATGATGTTACTGTATATGAACCGGTCTCAGTGTAGTCCCGATCCTCTATATGAACCGGTCTCAGCGTAGTCCCGATCCTCTATATGAACCAGGTGAACCTGGTTTATCTTCTGGTTTAATGTCGGTTCATGTCTGAGGTTTGTAAAAACATGAGTAAACTCAGATTCACCTATCTTCATCAGGTTGACGGTTGTTGTAATCTGGCCTCCTCTCTTCAGGTGGACGGTCACAGTTAAAGGACACACAGGGTTCAGGTTTATGGAGCTCACGTTGTCCCCGAACGCCTTCAAACACACTTTGGCTTCATTCTGACTGAAGTCGATGAAGCTGAGAACAGAAGAGTAGAGCTGAAGCTCCTCTCAGGGCGACGCGTCATTCACTCAATGAATCATAAGGTGTTTTTACCACACTGTCATGTTCCTGATGTCGTCATCTTCTTCACCCTGGTCATCTTCATCATCCCCGTGGTCGTTCCTGCCTCCCACCAGTCTACAGCTCAGACTGCTTCCTGTTCTCATGATGTGAGAGGAGCAGCTGATTGTGGGCTCTGAGAGGAAAACATTCATTAAAGAAGAAGAACTGTTTTAATATTAATATCCTGAAACACTGAGACTCATCTCAGTTAATGAGGTTCAACAAAGAACCAGATAAATGACGTAAAATAATAAATATAATAATATTGTCTAAGTTAGTTTAAGGGACGTTCAAAAGATAATTAGAAATATTTAAAATATATTTATATATATAATTATATAAATTATATATATAAATATAAAAGGGAGAGCGGGTCAGTTGAGATATATTATATAATATAATATATTATATTTAATATATTATATTTAATATATTATATATAATATAGCTCTCCTCCAATCCATTACTTTAACGACTGTAGATCTACGTTAACCATTGATTCACGTTTAACGACTGTAGATCTACGTTAACCATTGATTCACGTTTAACGACTGTAGATTCACGATCGATGTGAATATTAAAGACTGAATCTGTATCTATGACATCATTAACTTCTATGAACTCAACAACATTCTTCTGCTCTGAGTCATAATGCACATGTAACATGATAAAGATCAATAACAGTGAATATTGTGCATCAATAAACATGAGAACATTTTCATATATCTGCTCATAGCTGCACTAAAGCATCATAATCAAGGAGTCTATATTCTTTGTTTATTTAAAAAGTTTGATTTAGTAAATATGGACGATGCTCAAAGAGTCGGCTGTTAAAAGAAGAATAAAGCTTCTAGTGGTCATTCATTCATTTAAGTTATTTTATTTTGCTCTCATTTCTTTTCCAGAAGATTGTTTTTTGTAAAATAATTAAGTCTTGTGATCTCATGTGAGACCAGATGTTTGTCATGACACATAAATAATAATAATAATAATAATAATAATAATAATAATAACTTTATTTATATATCACCTTTAAAAACGTTGACAAAAGCAGCAAAATCAAATAAATAATAACAGAAAACTCAGTGAGATAAAACAAAAATAAACTAATAAATAGATAAATACATTATTTTATTAATATTATTGTTTATTAAAATTGTAAAATAATTTAGTAAAATCCACAAATAAAAATAAAACAGAAACAAAACAGAAAAGCGACGACATCACATAACAGCCAGTCTGTTCAAATGTGTTTTAAGAAGTGATTTAAATTCACCTCAGTGACTCTGAGATGAACCTGCAATAATCAATAATAATAATTTCACTGCAATAATCTCAGATACATAGTTCTGATTCGAGGGTCTTCTCACCGTCGTCTCCGTCTCCGCTCTCAGTCCGACTCGCAGCCGGCAGCAGCAGCAGCAGCAGAGCAGCGATCCAGCAGCACAGCAGCATCTCCTCAGAGCCTCAGAGCCTCCTCACAGCTGCACACATGAACTCAACTCACAGCGTCTCTACAGCTGACGGCTGGTTCTCATCAGCCAGCGAGGAGAGAGGAAGGAGGTAGGAGGGAGGGTAGAGTTGACTTCTTTGCTCACAGGATGTAAATCAGAAAACAACTCTGTTCAGCAAACAGCAGGTTCTGAAGGAGAAGAAGAAGAAGAGTTAACTTCATCAGAGCTGAAGAAGAAACAAACAGAAAGTCTTCAGTCAAACTGTAGTTTATAACCATAACAGTGCACAACAAAGATGGAGACTGTGACTAAACCCACTCTGGTACCTGATCACTACCTGTTCAGGTACTCTGGTACTCTGTTCACTACCTGTTCAGGTTCTCTGTTCACTACCTGTTCAGGTGCTCTGTTCACTACCTGCTCAGGTGCTCTGTTCACTACCTGCTCAGGT